ATGTCTCCGCCATCACCACAGCCCCGCACTTTGTTCATCATTTGCAGACAGAATTTATACCCAGCCCACTTGACAAATGGGGTGACCAAGGCTTAGAAACAGAGCAGAAAGTCATGGAGCCAGATGGGGAGATGTCTGGACAGAGCCCTCCTAGCTCTGGCCACTCACTTTATTTATTTATATATTTTTGAAGTTGAGGCAAACTTTATAATCATACTTCCAATATGACTCAGGAAAACAAATTTCCCAAGCAGCATTCCTGACAGCATGCCTTCAGAAATAGGTGTCATAACTTTAGGATCTGTGACTTTGGAACCAAGAAAGACGATAAAACAGAACTCATTAAAACTATTTTACATTGTAGTAGCAAAATGTTTTTCAATTAATTTCAAAGCTTCTTTTAAAACATATGGTAGATATATTTAAGCCCTTCTATGTTACCAGACATAAAATATTGGTAATTGTCAAAATATGTTCCCTTTACTGGTCCTGACCTTAAAATTCACTCCCTTTAAATGGTGAGTTTGAATGTCCCCTGAGCTGTGGGGACACCGGAGGGAGGCAGAGCAACTGTGTCCCTGGGGTGCAGAGAGGAGCGCCAGCTTGGGGCTGCAGTGGTTAACAGCTGCTCCTTAGCCCAGGTGAGAAGGGGAGGCCTTGCTGCCCTGAATCTGAAGCTCCCACAGACCAAGTGCACTGTGTGATGGGTCTGGGGGTGGGGAGCAGCGTGGCCCAAGCCTCCACGTGCTCCACTAAATCCCAGCTACAGAGGGAACAGTGGCCCTTCCCAGCCCCAACAGAGCCAGATGAGAGGCAAAGCCCAGGAAAGTAGGGGTCAGCTATTCTGCGGGGTCACAACAGATGTGAACGTGCCAAAATGTGACTTAGACTGCTGGTTCTCACCCCAAAGTCGACACTGGAGAAGCCAAAGAAAGTATGTGGATTCCAGGAAGCAACAAGCCGACAAACATACAAAGGGTAGTGAGAAGACTGGGGGGCCAGGGCTGTTGAGCTGCTGTTGGGTTATGGGGGGTTGGGCAGGGAGGGCAGGGGAGAGGCTGCTCAGCATGGGCCAGGGCTGAGTAGAAGCCGCAGGGGTAGAGCATGTCGGAAGAGATCTTTGTGAGCTCTGCTCTCCTTGGGATACCTTGGGGCAACCATTGCCAGGACCTTTATGGATAAAATAGTGACAGTAGCTCTGGGATGAGGACTGATGAGAACTGAAAATAGGTGTTGATGAGCCAGCTGCTCACGCCTTCTACAGCTCACTTAGCCCCCAAAGCTAGTTTGCTAAAAATCTAGACTGCCTTCTATCCAGTATCTCTCCTTAAAGGCTTAGAGATGAGAGGGTGACCGGGTCTTGGGGGAGGTGGTGGGCCTTGCTGCTCACGCCTGCCCTTCAAACCCTAAGAACTGAGATAGACAGGCCTTTGATGTGTCCCCATACCTGTTACTGGACAGAGTAGCTGATTCCGGGGTGTTTGAAGAGGGCACAGTAAAAAAAAGATGCATGGACAGAAGCTCTCCCTAGAAGGAAGACAGCACCCTGAACAGCACAGGCCAGCTGGAGCAGGGTCACTAGATGAATGGACCACAAAGAAATACACTGGCAAAGCAGGGAAAAGGAATCATAAGAAAACAAAATGGCAAAAATGGAAGATCAATTTGAAGACAATAGCAAATAGGTACTGACATCTGACAATAGGAGTTGCAGAGGAAAGAAAGATTTAAAAGGCAAATGAAAGGGATGTTTGAAAAAAATGGAGATAGAGTTTTCTATAATGAACCAAAGATGAAAGACCTTAGATTTGGAAGGTCTCAGAAAATGGCACAAAAAGGGGGAAGATAAACACATGATAATAAAATTTAAGAATATCAAAGATAAAATCATATACTATTTTCCAGAAAGAAAGAAAAGATCCCTCCCAAACTTAGAAGAATCAGATTGTCTTTAGACTTTCTTGCAGCAACGTGGAATGCTATTTTTGAACTTGTGAAGGTACAATTCCATGTCTAGAATTTGAAACAATTTAAAGAAATAGGAAAAATATCCTCAGATTTATAAAGCTTTGAAGGTTTGCTGCACATCACCCAAATTAAAAATGTTTTTGGAGGAAGTATTCAAATTAGAAGAAAAACAATACCAAGAGATACTTCAAAAAATATGAGAAGTAAAGCAAAGATGGTTGTTGTCTTTAAAAAAAAAATAAAATGAGTAAGACAAATGAAAGTAAAAGTGAATACATATTCAAAAGAACCTAGCATTAAAATTCTAACTAGACAATATCAGCATGAGGATGTGGGGAGATCAAAGAGGCAAAGAAGAATATTAAAATAGTAATTGTTAGAGACACAATAAAAATTAGGGAGAAACTATAATTTTTGATTCATTTGGGGATGTATAAAGATAGTCAGGGTGACTACTCTAAAAACAAAAATAGAACATAAAATTTTTACAGAAGAAAACCCAACCTATCTGATGGCTTGATAGGAAGGAGGATTAAAAAAGACAAAATGTATAGTAAATGGAAAATATAAAATAAGATAGTGGTAAAAGTAAGACAATAGTAAAATTAACTACAATAGATGTAAATGGATAAAACTAATCAATTAAAAGAGACTCTCATATTGGGTAACAAAGTAAAATCTAATAATAAATGCTCTAAGATGAAACATGAATTTAAAAGGTGCCTAGAAATGTTGAAAATAAAGACATGGAAAAAGATACTAAGAAAATAAAAAGATTGAAAATAATGTAAGTAAAAATGGACCAAAATAAGCTGAGATAGCACTATTAATAGCTGGTAACCTAGAAATGAATGTAAAAAAAAAAAAAAACCATCATAAATGACAAAGATATTAAATACTGATAAAAGGAAAAATAGACAAGATAACCATCATAAACATATGGGCAACTAGCAAAAATTTTAAACTACATCAAGCAACAACTATTAGAACAGGGAGAGATATAAAAATCAGAATTATCCTTAAAGATTTTAATACAATTACTTGAAACTGATAGATCAAACAGAGAAAAACAAAATTTGAAGAATTGAGTAACATAACTAATAAGTTCATACTTAGATTGCACTATTTATAGAACTCGCCACTGAACGTATCTCTTTTCGGCAGTGGGAGCATTTATGATTGTGGATTAGGCATTATAGAAGTCTCAATAAATTCCAAAGGATCAATATTCTGGACTATGATTTTTGATCATAATGTAGTAAAACTAGATAGAAATAAAATAAGGAGCTGAAAAAGTTATATAGAGTTCAATATAACATTATTATATAGCTCAAGTTTAAAAGAAAAGTCTAAAAGAAAATAAGAAATGTTTAAAAGTAAATAATAAGGAAAACCATACAGAAAATGTATGTATAGCAAAATTTATAGTTTAAAATACACATTAAAAAAATGAGAGAAGAAAAGAAATAATATCTTAGGATGCAACTCAAGAAATTGGTGGTGGGGGGATCCCACAGAGCAAAATAAAATAAACAGAGAAAAGGGGAACAAGTAATCAATGAAATGGGAAGCAAAAAGAACAACAGAGATTAATGAAACCAAGAGCTGATTCTTTGGGAAGATTAATGGGATACAGGTCTTTAGCAAAAATGACCAAGGAAAACAGGGAGAAGATACAAATAAATGAAATATGGAGTAAAAAGGGGAATGACTATAGGCAGAATAAAGATTTGAAACTCTTAAAAATGTCATGGCCAAATCTGTGCTCATAAGTTTTTAAACCTAAGTGAAACGTAAAATCCTTAGAAAAACATAAAAATCCAAAATTGGCACAAGAAGACAAATTCAAAAGGGCATCAAAGAGCTCCTCTCCCCAGACTATCCAGATGAATCTATTTTTACATTTTATTCTTTCAAAATGTCAAAGAAGAGTAAACTCCTATTCTATGTGTGTTGTTTCGGAAAATTTTAGGTCAAAAATTTTTGTGAACATTGCTGCAAAATTCCTAAATAAATACATTTGCCAATTGCGTTTAACAGTATATTAAAGGTAATACATTACACGATATACTAAAGAGTGAGATAATAATCTGAATCCATTCAGAAAAACTTTTGATACAGGTCAACAATCTTTCATAATAACAGCTCAGTAAATTAGTAAGATAGCGTTCAATAATAAGATCCTACTACAACAATTGTGTTCGATGAGAAACCGTAGACACATTTTGTCCCTTTAGTAGCAGGAATATGGGAAACATGCCCGCCATCCCCACCAATGTTCATGAAGCAAACTGTTGTGTGGGAAACCAAAAGAAACACATAACACAAGCCCATTTAAATGAACAAAAATTATATGCTCCAAGACAGCAAGACAAATTTTGTAGGACTACACGGGAAATCAGAAGAGACACATTAAATACATTTGAATGGAGGGAAAGAAATAGAGGATAAAAGAAAACACACACACATCCCTGCAAGCACACGTACTTAAAAACAAGAGCAGGGCCTGTTGGGACCAAACGGATAATGTGCCCTAAATTGAGATAAACGGTTTATTCAGTCCTATGAGCTGATGGCTTAAAACAAGAAAAGTTTTTGAAGATGATACAGTGGAAAATTGACCCCAGTCGCTCTTAAAGAGAAAGGGATGAGGGCCACACAAGACTGGCTTTGCTGGAAGTCCAGGTGGGGTTAGCCTGGGTCTTTCACTGCCCCGGGAACCCCTCTCCTCTGGCCCTGTTGGACCCTCAGCTGGTGGCTTGTTCTCAGGACTACAACACCGCACAGGTGGGGCAGGCCCTTGCTCCCAGGAGCACAAAAGACTCCCACAGGGCTGTGGGTTGGTCTGGACAGCCCTGCTCTGTGTGGTTCGCGTCACAGGGGGGTCTCTTGTGCAGAAATCCCTCAGGGGCAGCGCGTGGAGGGGGAGCTGGAGTCTCCTCCACACCCTCCCGTCGCCCATGAAGCAAACCAGATGGGTGGGGGCAGGAGGCAGGGAGGGCACTGCTCCCTGCCTGCTCAGGGCATCCTACCTCGTCGAAGTCAGCCACATCCTCACAGTTCTCTAGGACCCGGGAGTAGAAGGATTGCCCTGTGGGGGAAAGAGGACAGTTTTGAGTCAGAACTCCCTGGACACACACGTGGGGTCAGAGCTCTCTGCCTGGGTTTTGGGTTTCCAGCATTTGGGTTCATGCAGCACGACTATGACCCTGGGAGTGTGTGTCTTGGGCAGCAATTCCAGAGGGGGCAGGTTCCCATACTGTCATATCTGACCCCTCAGCAGCCTTGTGGGGCAAGCAGTTCAAAGGCATTAGCTCCACTGCACAATGAGGATCCCAAAGTACTGGGGGCACCAGGCTGGTCCGAGACAGAGTGGGGCGGCCTCTTTTCTCCAGCATGGCTCCCAATGGCCTTCTTGGCTTTCTCTGTCTGTGGGCCTTCCTGGTTGCAGAAGCCTGTGCTAGCACGGGGGTGGACCCCTGCTGCCAGCCCTCTTTCTGTGACCCTGTCTGCTGCCAGGCCCCGGTGCTTCCCCAGCCAGGATCCAGGACAGTCAACCACACTTGAGCTTTCTTCCAGGGAATCAAGACCCTCCCTTCACACTCGCAGTCACTTTTCTGTCAAGCTTGAGTTTTTCTCCTCTGGGGCAGGTAGCCGAGAATGTGATGGGACACATGTTTCCAGACCCCTTCACCACTCACATGCCATGCCACCCACCAGGACAGACATAAAGTTGCTGCCTTCCTGGCCCATTCTGTCAGAACTGGCCCAAGTTGCTGGGAGAACCTTAGTCAGGAGAGGAGGAGGCAGGTTGGGGTGGGGGAAGTGGTGGCAATGAGAGGGATGCCTGGGCCAGTCCAGCTCACTTAGAGAAGGCTCACTGGCCTCCGTGCTGAGGACCACGTGCCTGGGACTCGGGGCAGAGGGGTGGTGCATGCACAGGTGCCTGCGCCCAGGGAGCTTCTGGCCTGGGAGGGCAAGGCAGGGGCAGGTCACCTGTGCAATACATACCCCAAGGGGCAGTTTTGCAGGAGAAGGAAGGGTAAATACTGGTTTGGGGTGGGTGGGAGCAAAGAGGCAAGGGTTGTAATTCTACGAGGAGAAATCCAGAGATGGGATGGGTTCATTTTTTTTTATTTAGAATTAATTTATTATCATCTGTCAAGTCTACACTAAAGAGAAAGGAAAAGAAAAAGGTAGCTTCTATAATAGGATTCTCTTTATAAATGCACCCCAAACCACAGTTGTTTTACATGTGAATAGACAAAGACTTCAAATACACCCCAAAACACAATTGTTTTATATGTGAATAGACAAAGATTTAAAATCATAGCTATTTCTAGGCAAGAGGAGTAAGAAGACATAGAAAACAGCATACTTGAATGTTTTGTTGTAGACACTTGAATTTGCAGTTTTTTTCAATGACCCTGCTTTGCTTCTGTAATCAAAAGAAAAATGCTTTCAAGTCCCCTCCAGCCTAAATCAGCAGGTCATCCACTAAACAGTTATCTCAAGGTCGATCTCAGTCCCATTCTTAGGGTTACTTTGGGTTGTTGCTGATGAGCAGGCTGGGACCCAGCAGAGGACTTGGGGGCCACACTGTGCTTTTCTCCCCACAGAAAATCTGGGAGACCCAGTAGGACTAGCCCCAAGCCAGGGAGGGGCTGGAGAGGAGCCCACTGGGCCCTCATGGCAGTGGGGCACAGTCTCCCTGGGGGCCACTTGTCTCCTCTGGCCCCTGTTGCCTTCCCAGGCAAGAGGCCTGGGCTGACTGCTTCAGGGCCTGCCAGGCTCTCGGGACTCAGGAGAGAGTCCCAGTTACACAGAACTGCCTCCTGATGAGGAGGCCAGGGGTTTGAGGCAGGAGGGTCTGAAGAAGGGTGTGTGTGTACGAGTGTGTGTGGATGTGTTTGTGTGCACAGCTGTGTGTGTTTGGAGGGTGGCAGCCTGTGGGTGGGTGGGGTGCATCCAAGAAAATGAGGAAGAAGCTGTAAAGCAGAAGCTGTACACATGGAAAAGAGATGTGAAGTAGACAGATGGGCAAGAAGGACTCTTTAGCACTAGCCGGGGACAAAACAAAACATCTCAACAACAAACCCAAAGCAGCCAGAGGAAAAGAAAGAAATAGGAAAGATGGTGCCTGCGCCCCTCTTGATTTTCCCCACAGGTGACACAGTGTAGATGGAGACTCAGGTGAGCATATTTGTGCGTTGAGGCTCCCCTAGGACCTGGGGCTCGGAATACCCAAGGGTCTTTTCCATCCTGCAAGACCTGGACCAGCCTGGGTCTCCTGGACTGAACACTAAGCCACCCAGCCAGGGAGGGGAGGGAGGGACTGTCCATGATGGCTTTAGTAGTTCCCCCGAGCTACCGAGACTGAAAGCCGGCCCTGCTTGCACATGTCCTGGCTCCTTGTTAGAGACGGTGTGAAATGCAGTGAAATTATCCACTGTGCAATTGATCCATCAGGGCTCTGTCTTGAAAAGCAGGAAAACATCATTGCTTTGGGTCATGGGTATTTAAATGTGGTGAATGTTGTCAAACAGGATGAGCCAAATTTTAACTAGATACGAAAAAACAAATCAAATCAATTGTACAGAAACAGTGCAAAAGGCAAACTTATTAAGAAAACAAAATGTCCTTCTTAAGGGTTTTTGAAAAGCTTCCTTTTCAGAGGGATTGTATGACCAGGGCAGGGTCATTCAAGTGTCCATTTCTGTTCATCAGGACAGAGCCAGGGTACCTCTCTCACCCCTTTCAAGTTAGGAGGGGATTGCTAGCCCCTCTCTTTCCACTTAACACCTGCTCCATGCCACACCAGTCTTGTTGACATTTCAACTGCCTTTTAAGCGGCTTTCAGACAAAATCATTTAAAAATCTCCAAATCCAATCCACTTTCAAGACACAGAGAAGACCGAGAAAGACTTGAGAGAAAGAAAATAGCCTGTTCTCTGCTGGGGAGAGGCTGCTGTGGCAGGAGCCCAGGGATGAGGTGAGGCTGCACCAGCTCTCTCCTTCCAGGGGCAGCTGCTCATGGGAAGGCTGAGCTGTTTGAAATAAACTCCCTGAGTCAATAAATGCGGTTAGGACAGCAGAGTCAGTGCCCACAATGGCATAAGGGCCAGGCCATCAGATTTACCCCAAAAGAGGGGTTTGGGAGCCCAAACGTCATAGTAAGTTTTGAGTCATTCTCCATTTTCAAATATATGCAGAGCAGCCACCTCCCAAGATGATGGTGAGCTCAGCTCTGCTCCGCCTCACACCCAGGATGAAGTGCTGGCTTATATGATAATGTAACTTAAGGGAACAAATACCTCATTTGCACTGACAGCTCCTCCTCCAGACAGTTCACCTGCTAGAGCTGGACTGGGGTGGGATGAGGGGTGGACAGGTGGGTAGGGCGGTGTTCAAAGCCCACTGGAGCCCGGGTGAAGCACAGGCTCCTGCGGTACTGTCGTAGCTGAGTCTGCTCTCCCTCCCACAGCCAGCCGGCTCCTCACGGGGGCCCTGCGCTTCTCATCCTCCCAGTTCCCCAGTTCATGTCGCCCTGTTCTTTTTGAAAGCTGCTCCAACAAGCACCAGGAAGCAGGGCACCGGGCTGCAGGAAAAGAGGCGGCGCCCAAGAGGCCCGGGCCCAATCAGGTGTGGAGACTGGGATGCAGCTCAAGGGCTGGGGGCCTGGACCCGACCGTTCAGTCCCTCGGGGTCTCCCAGTCATCATCTGTGACTGGGGGCAATTATGGTGACCAGTACTTCGTGGAACCACTGTAGGGGTCCGTGGGACACGCTCAGTGAAAGCGGCTTAGAGCATCTGGCAGGGGCCAGAGGGCTGTGGTAAGGTACTAAGCAGCCCGGGGTTCAAACCCCTGCTCTTCCACTTGCCAGAGAAGAGACCATCTCTTTGCCTTAGTTTCCTCACCCATTAAATGGAGGAAATGACAGTTCTTAAACTCCTGTTGCATGGCTCATTACCCAATTAAAAATGACAATGAATCTACGAAGGAGGAGTCCTGTTTTTCCTTTTGACATTTATGTCTTAAATACAAAAATGGTCTCCTCTATTATGAATGACATTTTGTAGCTTATTTTTAGTAATAGGTAATCAGGAACAATTTTCCCCCTCATCTTATATAATGTTTTTTCCAGTTTTAGGTATTTTAGGTATGATGAGCTCTTTTTTTAATGAGGTAAAATTTACCCTTACAGATCTTAAGTGAACAGCTCAATGAGTTTCGAGAAACACATTTATAAACCTATATAATCACCACACAAACAAGATGTAGACCCTTCCCATTCCCTTAAAATGTCCCTGGTCCCCCACTTTCCAGCTGATCTCTACCCCCACCCTCAATAGGCAACCAGGGCTCTGACTTTTATCACCAAAGATCAGTTGTGCCTGATTTAAACTTTACATAGATGGTTTCAGACAGAAGGTACTTTTCGGGTGTCTCGTTACTTCGCGTCAATGTAATGCTTTGTGATTCATCCCTATAGTCGATGTGTCAATGATTCATTCACTGCTGTTTTTGAGTAACGTTCCGTGCTATGAATGACGAGACCACAACCTGTTGATACGTTGGGAGTTGCTTCCAGTGTTGGGCTATTACTAGTAAAGTTGCTGTAAACATTCTTGTGAAAGTATTTCTGTGGACATAGAATTGCATTTCTCTTGGGGACATGCCTGAAAGCAGGTTCTCTGGGACCCAGGGTAGGTGCTTGTTCAATTTGATGAGAAACTGCCAGTCCTCCAAAGCAATTAGACCTTTTACAAATCCTGGGCACAGTGTAGAAGTTTTAGTTGTCCCACATCCTCATCGACATTGATTTTTCTATTTTAGTGCATGTGAAATAGCATCTCATTCTGGGTTTGCTAACAACGTGGATGACTTGTGTGTATACTGATCATTTGTATAATTACTGGAGAAAATACTCAAGTCTTTTGCCTATTAAAATTCTTGCTCATTTATCTTTTTTGTTATGGATCTGTAGGGGTTCTTCATGTACTCTGTCTACTAGTCTTTAAATGTGTGTTTTTATCTGATGCTTTCTTATAGTCTTCGATGTGTTTATTAATGAGTAGGTGTTTTTTTA